TACTCTCTCTCTCTCTCTCTCTCTCTCTCTCTCTCTCTCTCTTTCTCTCTCTCTCTCTCTCTCTCTCTCCATATAGAACCCACCCTTCCAACAAGGCAGTCACTCACAACCCATAGGAGTGGGCCTGTCTGCCCCACCTTCCAATAAGGGACGCAGTCACTGACAACCCTCCCTTCCAACGAGGTAGTCGCCGATCCTGGGGTCACCTACTCTAGTCTAGAAGCTCTCAATGAGGAGGATCTGTTGCTACCATACAGTGTAAGAGAGTGAATCACCGGTTTCTTGCTCCTTCCCATGCAGCCACGTATTAGGTCTTTGAAGGGCCCGATCATGTAGGTGATCTATCATGAGGATCTTATCACAGCATACTACACGGCTTGGTCACCTATTTTCCAACCCCTGAATGCTCTATAAAGGGGACTGACAGTAAATATCTCATAACTTCGCAAATTCCTTAATCCTCCCCTAGCCTGGGTATAAAAGTTTCCCCGAACCTGCTTTCCTTTAATCCTCTACAAGACACTGTGCACCACACTGTTCTTTCCCCCCAATTTCATATTTCCCCCTAATTTCATAATTGATAGCAGTTGCTCGCTGCTTACTGAGACCCATTGTCCAGAGCAATTTCATTTTGGCTCAAGGGATAAAGATCTCATTGAGTAATATCTCCAATTGAAAATCTATCTGATAGGATCCATTCCCAACTAAGAAACAAATACGCTGATGAAACTCTTGTTGTAGTGTGTATTCATGCTTAACAAACTTCTGAAACGATTCTTGAATCTGCGTCTCCTATATTTCTCTCTAATTTCCGCTCTATGTGGACTCCCTTCCTCCGTTTCTGGAGGGAGGAGAAAAAGAAAAACGAAAAAGAAGGTTCCCTTCCTCGTCCCTAGCATCCATGATCAGTTTCTTTGTAGCACCTTGTTGACTTTCCTATTTCTTTTGAAACCCAGTCTTCCCATGCTTTTTCATAAACATATGTTTTTCATCTTACCAAATGGACCTTCCACTTCTCATGGGTGGAATCTTTTGTCATGTCTGAAACCTTTAGCTACCAGATGCAGGTGTGCTTTGTTGCTGTTCGCTACATTTGCTTTGGTTTTTACTTGAAAGTTCAAGTCACTTCTGACTTTCTAAGCATAGTTTGCACATTTCTACTTTGTTCACTAGGTTTTTGAATCTATCTTAGTGGCTATTGGATAGTCCTTGTCATTGCCTAGGAGATGCACTATGTCATATGATGCTTGCTTTGGATAGCATGCTTTTTGGGCATTTAGTTTCTTATCTCATTATTATCATTGGATTTTATGTCAATGTGATGGCAGTTTGTTTTGTTTGATTACTTACACATTTTTGTCTGTCATCTTAGGGATTAGAAGATAAAGCTTGGCGAACCAAGCAGAGTAGTGTGCAACTTCTTGGAGCTATGGCTTATTGTGCTCCACAACAATTATCTCAGTGTCTTCCTAAAATTGTTCCCAAACTTACAGAGGTTTATTCTGATCACATATCTTCTTGTAGTTTACAGGGTTGCATATTCTCTCAAAATCTTTAGTCTTTGTTGATAATCGTTTTTATGCCTATTGTAGGTGTTGACTGATACACATCCCAAAGTTCAGTCAGCTGGCCAAATGGCATTGGAGCAGGTAAAACTTTATGAGGGCATGTTATATCGTGTTCAGTTCTATTGATACTCAAATGCATGTCCTGCTAGCATGTGCATGTTTTTCTATAAAATAAGTATTTAATTATTTTGATTCTTTGTAAGTGTTGACTTTTCATTTACTATTCTTTTGTACCCTGCCACATGGTTGAGTGTTTATGCTGTTGGGCCAATATACTTGTATTTAAGTTTGTGTAAGCCACATCAAAAGTAATGTTGTTGTCTGGCTTCTTGCATTACTTAGGCATTCAAATCATGTCACCCACTCTACTATATAAGCAATGCCATTAACAGATTCTCATAGCACTTATTGCAAGTTTGCAGCATACATTAATGCCACATCATCAGCATATCTGGACCCGGCCAATTCCATTCGGACTTGGCTGAGTAACTTGGCTTTGCTCTGTAGGCTTGGCTGAATACCCCCGAGTTGGGTGTACAGCTTGGGGAAAGTAAAAAAATTAAAAAAAATCTAAAAATATTATAAAAAATCTTCTCACTCTTTATCATTCCCTCCCCTCCCCTCCCATTTCTCCCCCTTGCCCTAGCATATTTCCCCCAAAATAGATATTTCACACACTGTTCTTGAGCCATGTCGGCCTCCTTCTAGATTTCTCATCCTTTACTCATCCAAATCTCTTGAAATCTGGTTCATTGTGAAGTTCTTAGATATTCCTTGTCTTGATCTATTCTATTACAGCAAAAAAAGTGATAAATCTGGCTGAAGAATCTCTGGTCTACTGAAGAACAGTGTGTTCTTAAACCATATCCACCTTCTAGATTTCTGATCATTTACTCATCCAAATTTGTAGTTATCAGGTTCATTGTGAAGCTCTTTGAATCCTTTAAAGATGCCTTATATTGATTTGTTCAATTATCGCATAAAAATTGGTAGATCTGGCTCTAAAATTTCAGGTATGTGGAAGAACACAGTGTTATTGAGCCCATCTGCATTTTGCTCAAATTTTTATCCGTTTGTCACCTAAATTTCATGAAATCATACTCATTTTCAACATTATTTCCTCTTCATAGCCCTAATTTTTCAGAAATTTTCCCCATTTTATTTTCCTCACCAAGGAGGTTTTTTTGTGCCGGGTGCTGTGTGGAGGTAGTTAGAGAGAAAAAATGGAGAGAGAGTGAGAGAAACAAATTTTTTTCACAGACATGTCGGCTGTTGTCTGGAGGTGGTTATAGAGAGAAACAACGGGGGAGAGAGTTAGAGAAACAAAAAGAAAAACGAAATTTAACCATGAGGAGAATGGAACACATAATCCTTCGTTATGTGCATGGTAATATACCAGTCCGCCACTTTAGAGCATTTGCTTATGTTTACTAAATTGTGTTTATGTAACCTTCATTTTTTCGTTTTTGTATTTTTTTTTATGAATGTACATTACTCTCCCGAGTTAGTCACTTGGCTAAGGTCTGAGCACCTTATCCGAGATGTGTTTCAGACAACTGCACATCATTTTATGATTGACACCTCAGGCATCTTACGCTTGTGCCATGAGTTTGTGACTCATAAGGCATCTTTTTTTCCTTTTGTTGCCTAGATAATTCTTAAGACTCGCCACTACAAGTATAAACGTTTAACTTCTTAATTTTCTATGTGGGTGTGTGTCCATGCACATGTGAGGAAATGGTTGAACCACCTTTTATTGTTTATCTTTTTACTTGATCATATTGTTCAGGGGTATTCATCCTCAATGGAGCATGAATAGGCTTGCTTTTCTTTTATTTCTCTTGTAATTTCTCATGTTATACTTTTTCTTTTATTTGGATTAGATTCTTCTTGACCCTTATCTCGATACTATTTGCATGTTTATGTGGATTCATGTTGGGAATGATTGGGTGTGAAGGAGGACTTAGCCGTAAGAGTGTTACATATCTTTGAGATATGTCTATATTGTTGTGCTATTTATACAGGTTGGGAGCGTAATAAGAAATCCAGAAATATCTGCCCTTGTTCCGACCCTTTTGATGGGTCTTACAGATCCCAATGAACACACGAAGCATTCACTTGACATTCTTCTCCAGGTTTTCCTTTTTTGCATTTCTTTCTAAGAGTTCACAGAAATATTTTTAACTTTGATCATATATTTATGGTGTTTTTTCCAACATCTGTTGCAGACAACTTTTATTAATTCAATTGATGCACCTTCATTGGCATTGTTGGTGCCCATAGTTCACAGAGGACTAAGGGAACGGAGTGCAGACACCAAAAAGAAAGCAGCTCAGATAGTTGGAAATATGTGTTCATTAGTGACAGAGCCTAAGGACATGATTCCATATATTGGGTTGCTACTTCCTGAAGTCAAGAAGGTCTAGTTTGCCCTGATTATCTGTCAGAAAGAAATAGTTTATTTTCTTCACTTACTTTGTTGACTTGATCTATTGATACAGGTGCTCGTTGATCCTATACCTGAAGTAAGATCGGTTGCAGCTAGAGCTATTGGATCACTAATTAAAGGAATGGGTGAAGAACACTTCCCAGATCTTGTGCCTTGGCTGTTGGAAACCCTTAAATCAGACAGTAGTAATGTTGAGCGCTCTGGTGCTGCCCAAGGGTTAAGTGAGGTGAGAAACTTCTTATTTTATATGAGCTCGTTCATGTTTATTCATTTGAAGTTCTTTTTCTTGTTTAAATGTATTTATGACTATAATGTAATATGATAGGATATATAGTGCAGTTTATGTTGGCAATGAGTAAGCATGCTTTGGTTAGTTTTTATAGCTTGTAGGATTTGAAAGTTCAAAAACTCAACTGAATTTATGTTTGAGACAGAAACAATACCTCGTGTGACTCTTTTAAATTGTTGTGTATTCAATACAGTTAAGGCAACTTTCCATGCATTTTATTTGCTTTGAATTGCTCTTGTCCTTGCTTCTTCATTTGTTTGTAATAAAATTTTCCTTGTTCATTACTAAGCTCTTTAAAGAGATGTTATTTTCAAAACTCTAGCATTTAACCTCTGCTTGCAAATGTTGGATTTTGAATAAGATCCTTACCTTATGTTTGTGGAATGTTTCCATATCAACATAGAATTTGGCAGAGTTAAGAGTCTGCCAAAATTTCTATGTTGCAACAGTTTGACCTGGTTAACGGGGAAGATGTAGTACCTTTGTGCTTTTATTTTCATGGTGCCAAATTCTCTTGGGTTCTTGTTTCTCATGCATTTCACTCCTTGTTAGAACTATGGGAGAAGAGAAATTTTGTGAATTTGGTCATGGTATTGACATGGCTGATCTAAATTGATCAATAATCTGTCTTTGCCTATGGGCTAATTTATTATTTTACTATGATTGTATCTGATGCTTCTTGTTTTCTTCTCAGGTCCTGGCTGCTCTAGGGAAGGAGTATTTTGAATCCATTCTTCCTGACATAATCCGCAATTGTTCCCACCAAAGGGCATCTGTTCGTGATGGTCACTTGACGCTTTTCAAGGTGAATATAGAGATGGAAGATTGTTTTAGCCATCCTTATTTTATTCATTATCTTTGACTACTAATATTTCTGAATTTGCACTTTTGCAGTATCTGCCAAGGTCTTTGGGTGCAATATTCCAAAATTACTTGCAACAGGTGCTACCTGCTATTTTGGATGGTAGGAAACAAATTCATTTGTACTCGGTGATGAGAATGAATCTGTTTCTCATAATATACACACACTCAATACATACAAATTCCTCTGACATTCCTCTTTACTTGTATATGCTCAGGCCTTGCCGATGAGAATGAATCTGTACGAGATGCTGCACTCAGTGCTGGGCATGTTTTGGTGGAGCATTATGCAACAACGTATGTGGCATTGCAGTTTTCTTGATTGTTGTACAATTACACATGCAAAAGATTTATGATTGCCATACATGTACTGAGTTCTGATGTGGCTTTCAAGATGTGGGGTTCCTGTGTATTGCAATTCTGCATCTTAATGAATTTATTTGATGTCAAGTTGACTAAATAAAGCCAAAACAACGAGAAGATACTAACGGAGAAACACATTTTTCTGATTGGCTTCCTCTTTCCACTGTGGAATCAGGTCATTACCTCTTTTGCTTCCTGCTGTTGAAGACGGTATCTTCAGCGACAATTGGCGTATCCGTCAGAGTTCTGTTGAACTCTTAGGCGATCTTCTCTTCAAGGTTGATGCCATCCTTCAAACTGTTTGATAAATTGTTATTTACACTTTATAGGGTAATTATACATTACCGAATTCATTTTGTATAACCATAGTTCATTGGGTCATTACTATCCGTTGATATGGGCAATGATGTTGAGAGCCACCATTAGGTTTGTGTGTTGTTCTGGTGTGTCGCATCGATGCTCACCATCCCATCATTTCAATGGGGCTTTGATGATCCAATGGACTTTTTTTTACTACCTCCTTTGTTTTATATTATTATTTTCCCATCTTTGGAATTTGATGTTTGCATTGTACTTATTAAGATTGAATATTGCCTTTTCAAGGTTGCTGGAACCTCAGGGAAAGCGATTCTTGAGGGTGGTAGTGATGATGAGGGTGCAAGTACAGAGGCACAGGGGCGTGCCATCATTGATGTACTGGGAAAAGATAAACGTAATGAAGTACTGGCTGCTGTCTATATGGTCCGCACTGATGTCAGCCTCTCTGTTCGTCAGGTAATTACATTTTCTTAAGAATCTTTTTTGTGCAATGAGATTGTATCATTGCATGATCTGTTGCATTGCATACTCATGGTTTCCTTTGACATCTGTTAATGTGGAAATTTGCAGAATTTTTGGAAGTATAATATAGCGCAATGGACAGTGAAAAACCATAGTCCATTGGTTCATCTCTGTCTGATTAATAGATGGAGACTAAAGGAGCGTCCTCCAGAACAGGATGTGACCCTAATGTCATTAATAGATATAGAGTAAAGGAGAGTCTTCCAGAACAGGTGTGACCCTAATGTTGGGTTCCATCTCCATCACTTTTGATTATTAGACAACTATGATTTCCAGGGTTCTGATTGTTGCATGATTTAATGTTTCAGTTCTGGACATTGTTCCTTATTTTTGGATGTTTGTTGTCAGGCTGCCTTGCATGTGTGGAAGACCATTGTAGCAAATACTCCAAAAACTCTCAAGGAAATCATGCCTGTTTTGATGAATACACTTATTTCTTCCCTTGCATCATCATCCTCAGAGAGACGACAGGTTGCAGGAAGATCTCTTGGTGAGCTTGTAAGGAAGCTTGGTGAGAGAGTTTTGCCTCTGATCATCCCAATTTTGTCTCAGGGGCTAAAAGATGCTGATCCTAGCAGAAGACAAGTGAGTTTTAAATCCATAGCTTTCTAGGTTAACTTGTTTCATCATTTTTTATCATCCTTGTACAATTTACAAATTAACAAAAAAAGAATGTAAAAAAGAAAAAAAAAGAAAACTTTTTCCTGCTCAACAAACTTGGTAGGTGTAGGGGTCCAAAGTACTGGAGAGAAATGTGGCTTTTGAGATATGGTTGTACATAGTTATTGAGGGCAACGGAGAAGATCATGACTCATCTTTATCCTTTTTGAAAATACGCAGTTTTTTTTTGCTATGGTGACTGAAAGCCCTTTCAAGGAACCTAAGCTATTCTTACAATAAACATGCATGGTTTTTAAGTCATGATTATTTCATTCAAGACAAGAAATCTTGATGCTTTAGATAAATATGTGAGAGTTATATCAGAAAGATCATACTTAAAAGTTTGATGGTGGTTGCTGTCGTGGAGTCTACACAGATGCAAACATAATCCATTTCGATATGTCGTACTTTCCTCCAAATTTAATTTGTCCAGTAAAGTTGTTTCCGATATGATGGGAACTGTTTATGGATCTCGTCTATCTCTCTTATGCACTTCACATTGATGATGACTTAATGTTTGGGTCTTCTGATATTTATTCAAGCTTTTCTTTTGTATTTAACTTGACTCAAAACTCACCTTTCGGTAATTGACTACTCCTGCAAGTACTCCAAATGATACTGATGATTATTGTTTTCAAGGGTCTTTTTCAGCGATTTTGGCTATGAACATCGTAAACATTGTATTGAAAAATTTCTTGACTCATTGACTTCCGCGTTCTTTTTATTTGATATTGCAATGCCTAATTTTATTAGATGTGCCATATTAGCTTTTAATTTTCTTTCTGCTGTGATACACACTGATTTGAATTTCTTGTAAACAGTCTTCCCCTTACTTCATTTCTAGATAGTGTTGAACTGTTATCAAGAGAACCATACTCAAACATGATATCCTCAGATATTCTTGAAAGTTTTTTTTCCTTTTTTTTAAGTATTTTTAAAATTGACGTCTCGCCTTCATCTGATACGTATATCTTGAACTCCTTATGGTGAATTCCTCTTCCATTTAGCATTGGAGTGCCCATTTGCCATTGATGTGTTCACTATATCAGTTGTGGCTAATATTTGTTTATCAGGGTGTTTGCATTGGTCTAAGTGAAGTGATGGCAAGTGCTGGTAAACAACAGCTGGTGAATTTCATGGAAGAGCTCATCCCCACAATTCGAGCAGCCCTCTGTGATAGGTTTGTTTTCTCTCAACATCGTATTTAGGTTTCACTTGTGGGTAGTTTTTCTTTAGGCTGTACAAGATCCGTTTGCTGGTATTGTGTGCAATGTTGGTCAATAGAACTTCCCTTGTTTACTATACAGCACACTTGAGGTCCGTGAAGCTGCAGGCACAGCATTCAGCACTCTTTATAAGGTACTTACGTGTAGGAAATTTATATGATTATCCTAGGGACTATGGAAAGATCATTGTGATTTGACCTGTTACTGTCCTTTTAACTGATTTATGTTGATGGGGTGAAGGTGAGAATCATCTTTTGGTCATGTTTTGGTCAGTCACACTGTCTATCTGTCACCATTCATCTATCTTCAGGACTATGTTTTATGAATAATCCTTTAAAACAATGTGCACTACATTCATGGAGCAGTACATAAATTGCACTTTGTACTCGGTCTTGTGCACTGTGCACCATGCAATCCGCAAATCACCAAACAAATGCACAATTCTTGCAATATGCCACACACCACACTGCATGAAATGTAAAAAGCCGCGCACAGAGGTGTGCACACCATTCACTACACCCCACACTCACTAAAAGCAAACTAAACTCAGCACAATGTGCACAACATACTATAGAAATCTGGCAGATGCACAGAGCACACCCACAATGTTGAACAGTGCAGCACGCATTACACCTACATTCACACCCTGTGGGATGGCTTCGATCACTGCATAACACACTTTAGGACACTCAATGTGCACTATATATGTGTAAAGTGTAGGTGTGCTGCCTGCATGTATGATGAGCATTGTGCACCCGTGCACCGTGCAATGTGCAGTATGTTCTCCAAAACACATGCGCATGGAGCATCACAAAAGTGCATGTAGTACTCAGTCTTCTGCACTGTGCGCTGCGCACAACACAAATTACTCATGTGCACTATGCATGTGCAAAGTTTCTTGATGTGCTGCTCCTTGTGATGTAGCTATGGCGACAGTTGATAACTTTTAATGGTAATAATGCAGAGTGCTGGAATGCTGGCAATTGATGAAATCGTTCCAACTCTTCTGCATGCTTTAGAGGATGATGACACCTCCGATACTGCTCTTGATGGCCTAAAACAAATTCTAAGGTATGTTTGTGTTACTGATCTTTTTATAATCTGAATGATCCATGGGACTTATCTTATATTCTTGGATGTGCTAATAGTGTTTTGTGGTTTCCAGTGTTAGAACCGCTGCTGTTCTTCCCCATATCTTGCCGAAGCTTGTTAATCTTCCTCTTTCGTGAGTTCTTGTGAAATTTTTTTTTTTTGTTTTAGAGGACTTTTTCCAACTAATGTTTCTTTTGCAAGAGGTCGAGTTTAACAAATTGTTGGTCCAATATTTACTTCTTTGTAGTGCCTTCAACGCCCATGCACTTGGAGCATTGGCTGAGGTTGCTGGACCTGGCCTTAATTTTCACCTTGGAACTATCCTTCCTGCCTTACTTTCAGGAATGGGAGATGATGATGAGGTGAGAATAGCTAGGATTCTCTTGAACTTGTGATGTTTTCATGGTTTATTTGGACCATCCACCTCCTGTTTAATAGAGGACAAATTGGGTTGTAATAACCACAGACTTATAATCCAGCCTAACCTGGTTTCTGTTATTCATGATTAAGAGAACAATATGATCCATTGTTCTATCTTGTATAGGCAATATTTCTGCTCTAGGTTAGAAGTAAAATATGTAGAGGGGCCAGAACTGGCACTTCTTAAGAGTTTGGATACAGCAAATTTTGGATGGATTGCCTTTGGACCCGTAGGTCTTGCAATATTTGGAATGAGAACATAATTCATAAAGAAAAATTTGGCTTGTAAGAGCTGCAGAAGAATCATTATGTGGAATCTCGTTTAGTAGCTCCTTGTTGGCTGTCGCTCTAATTATTGTGGTGGTATTCTTACCGCTGTTTCAAAAAATTGACCGCCCAGTGTCTAGGCGGCCGTCTAGGCAGATATATCCCTGGGCGCCCGCCCAAGGCCTGTGCCCCACCTAGGGGCTGAAGTGTGGCTCCTTGAGGGTATTTTGGGTCATTTTTTTAATACTAAAGGGGCAAAATTGTGGGTTTTAGTTTCATTTGAAACCTAAAACCCCATTAGAGGCTATTATAGAGAGAGAACCCAAAAAAAAAAAATTCTACTGCGCCGGCCAGGTTCTGGGTGCCAGTCTAGGCGCTCGGCGGCCTACCCGCCTAGCTGCCGCCCGACCGCCTAGGTGCCGCCTAGCGCTTTTTGAAACTCTGATTCTTACATGATTATTGTGTAGGGAACATTTCTTTTCCTAATTTTCTAATTAAATGGTAATAGCTTATTGGTCTAATTGAGGGTATGGCCCTTGATACAGCAAAATGACGGAGCGGGATTCATTTAGCCGACCCCAAATAGTTGGGATAAGACTTGGATGATAATGATGAGTTTATTGTTTTCTAATAGTAAGGGGTTTGTGATTGGTCATCGAGTTATGGATGTGACAGTAATTACCCATATGTTAGATTGAGGCTTGGGGATCAACATAGTTTGTGATATTGGAATAGAGATGGCCAATGAATCGTAGACTTTGATTTCTTATTATGTGTTGTGGAAAAGATAGAGATCTCGGTGAGGATATTTCTCAAATTTTCTCCTCGTTTTGCAAATCAGGAGGTTCAAGGTTTGGCAAAAAGGGCTGCAGAGACGGTGGTTATGGTCATTGATGAGGACGGCATTGATCCTTTGATCTCAGAGCTACTCAAAGGTGTTGGTGATAGCCAGGTTTGTGTGGTACCAATGAATTTTTTAACTGTCACTTTTTTCATGCTTTATTTGCTTCCTTTTGCTTTGGATTTAATGTTGGTTTTCTTGTTTCAGGCTTCAATGAGAACAGGCTGTGCATATCTGATAGGTTACTTATTTAAGAACAGTAAACTATATTTGGTTGATGAGGCCCCGAACATGATCTCTACCCTGATAGTTTTGCTGAGTGATTCAGATTCTCTTACTGTTGAGGTTAGCTCCGCCATGAGCATTTGAGTCAGATAACCCACTGGACTACGAAATTCCATAAGTCCATTGGGATCAGTGCCTTCCAACAATTGATGAATACTGTTGGAGAGTATGTAACCCACCATAGGGTGCTCTCCCTGTTCTGGTGGTTCACACTCTCCCACATGCACATTTGATTGGATGGAAAGGACCTTAGTGGACAATGATTTTCTATAGTCCATTCGATTGTACTGCACTTTGAGCCCTGTCGTCATTTTTTATTTTTCTTCTTTCTTTTTTTTATATAACAGTGTGCATGGGAGGCGCTGGGGAGGGTTGTTGGTTCATTGCCCAAAGAAGTACTTCCTTCTCATATCAAATTGGTTCGAGATGCCATATCTACTGCAAGAGATAAAGAGAGAAGAAAAAGAAAGGTGTGATAGTTTCTATGTCAATATAACATAAGGATGCTCAAGTTCTACATTATGTACACATTGTTTAAGTAATATGACTCTGGATTTGTTTTTCATTTACTGTGGGTATATATATATATATATATATATATATATATATATATATATATATACTACTAGTAGTAGTATACTATATAGTATAGTATATATATATATATATATACGTACTACACTACTACTAACGTAAACTACTTAGTTAGTTAGTTAGTTA